CTAAAATGACACTGGTAATACTATAAATACTAGCAGAGAAAGTCTAATTGAAGAGAATTGGCACTGGCTGGTTACTTCCGGTTTCTGGACTGGCTGCAGTAACGCGTCTCTGTCCATGCGGGGGCGCTCGCGGTCGAGTGCAGAATGAATGGGAGTCAATGGGGTTTCACCCCCAGAAATCCACTTTTCTCAGGATGTAATTTTTTGTCAAGTAATTTGAAAGTTGCATTCAAAAGGGGGGGCTAAGATAATGCACTGCATTTTTAAGTTCACTTATCTGTTCTAAAAATCCGTTCAAAAATGTGATGACGTCACACAATAGCAGAATGCTAGCGCCAACAACGGCCTAACCTGTAAGAAATCAAAAGGACATAAGTACTCGTTCATTCGACTTTTGGTCTATAATCTATATTGAACTTGCGGAATCAACAATAAAATCTATTTTGATTTAACGACAAGAGACACATTTAGCCGTTTAGCCCCATAGACTCCCATTCATTCTGCTCTCGCCCGTGATCACCCCCAGTGGAATTCTAATGGAACTGCAACCAAGGTGATACACAACGGGGCTAATAGGAAGTGCCAAGGCTCTCCGTTAGACGGGCTCTGCTACGGTTTGCCAATAACAACTGACTGGGTCATGTGACCAATCGCCGCAGATTCGCGTCACTCAAAGGAGCTGTTTAAGAAAAAATAAGTTAAAAATAAATGCGTATTATAAGACAAATAAAGTGTTTTTTTATCCTTGCATGCACGTTAAACTGTTTTTGGGAACTCCCAAAACAAAAATATGAACATTTCAAATGCTATGATAGGGGCTCTTTAAGTTTAAGTAATGGTGAAGTTTTGATCGTTACCATTGTTCCAAAGAGTAGGGCGTATAGTAAGTTTGTGAATAACTGCATGTATTGACACTCACATTGTTTTGTTCTTTCAGCAGATACTTTGTAATAATACTAATGAAGAAGTAATATATTTAATTTTGCACTGTGCTACACTCTAAGAAAAGGTTCTATATAAAACCTTAAAAGGTTCTATCAGCGCTACATATTTGGAACCCCTAAAAGGTTCTATACACTCTTAAAAAAAGGGTTCCTCTGGGTTCTATATAGAACCCTGGGGTTCCATACTTGGCCAATAGAACCTTTTACCAAAAAAAAATGGTTCTATATAGAACCACTTTGGAGTTCCATATATGAAGCGGGGGATGGAACCATTTCTGGTTCTAAATAGAACCATTTCTTCCAAGAGTGTTGGCGCATGTATACAGACATTTAGACGGTCAGAATTTGGCATAAACAGAATGAGAACATGGATCCATCATGCCTTGTTCCCACTGTGCAGGCTGGTGGTGGTGGTGTAATGGTGTGGGGGATGTTTTCTTGGCACACTTTAGGCCCCTTAGTGCCAATTGGGCATCGTTTAAATGCCACAGCCTACCTGAGCATTGTTTCTGACCATGTCCATCCCTTTATGGCCACCATGTCCCCATCCTCTGATGGCTCCTTCCAGCAGGATAATGCACCATGTCACAAAGCTCCAGTCATTTCAAATTGGTTTCTTGAACATGACAATGAGTTCACTGTACCAAAATGACTTTAAAAGCTTTTTTGAGCTTTGCGCCCTGGATGTGCATGGTGATGTGCATCCTAATAATCCTTTAAGTGAGAGTATATATATATATATATATATATATAATTGTAGGTTACTATGCACCTTTTACAGTGTATGTAGGCTACATGGCAGTAAGAGAACTGCATAGAGAATGAGCTCTACAAAAACACTCAAAAAGAAGAGCATGCCACTTTCTAGGCTTTGTGTGTGTCTGTGTGTGTGCGTTTGCAGGATTTCATAAGCAGAGTATTTTTGTGCACAAGCATTCAGAGGCTTGAAGCGTCTCCCACCAGCTGTCCTTCAGGAGACTTCAGCACTCACCGGTTCAGCAAAGACAATCATTTACACACTCTAATTGGACGTGAGTGAATCATGCAGGGTAGAAACAGAAAACTCTGTGTGATTCTATTTGTAGATTTTCAGCAGTGTTGTGAAACCTGATTATAAGCCACTAAGAACAGAGAAGTTTATGAGATCCTGCCAGCTTTAGTAATGTACAGTATTATTCTGGTTCAGATGATGAAGGAAGTCAACATGACTCTGTTTGCTTCCTTAATGCACATTATTGTGAATGATTCGCTTGTGCATGAGTTTGTTGACATGTTTTTTCATCCAAATCTAACAGCCTTCTTCAACTGTCTCACATCCAACATTTTATTTTTTATCTTGAATATTCTGTTTTACTTGAAAATATGACTTTTTATTTGTAAGAGTGCCATTGATTGCACACTATGTTGACTGAAAAATGGCCCATAATCATCAGAATAAACGCTGGTATGTTTAATTTTCCATTTGGTCAAAAGCAAAAAAGACAAGAAAATATGCTCTGCAAATATTCACATTAAGTTATGAAAATTTGATATGAACATTTTTTAAACATTCCAAACATGCTGCGTTTTTATGTGTTAAGAATGTTTAAACATAGTTTGTTTTTGTACACTCTTAGAAGAAAAGGTTCTAAAAAGGGTTCCTCTGGGTTCTATATAGAACCCTGGGGTTCCATACTTGGCCAATAGAACCTTTTACCAAAAAAAAAAAAATGGTTCTATATAGAACCATTTTGGAGTTCCATATATGAAGCGGGGGATGGATCCATTTCTGGTTCTAAATAGAACCATTTCTTCTAAGAGTGTATGTTTCTTCATGATTATGTAACTGTTAAAGGCACATTCCATTTTAACATAATTTTGTTTTAAACACCATTTTAAGAATGTTTTGTTCAAACATTTGCATGACCTTTAAAACCCATTAGTGAAAGTTATGGGAACTTTCTCTAGCTGGAATCCATCTGCTGCTTAACCTGCCTTGTTTAGTGTAAAAAGAGAATTACAGAGAGTTAAATTTCAGCGATGCTTGTATAAGGATCAATATTTACAATAAATTTGACCGCAGACAGCCGTTTCCATTTCAATTTCTCCTAGACTTTTCTAGTTTCGAGTGTCTCGTCGAATTCACACTCTGAATGTAATGGCATGAGATGTGTCTATGAAGACACAGGAAAACAAGTGAGCCGTTCGTTAATTTAATCAGTGTGTAGGAGTCACAGGGAGTCGTTAAGTGAACCGGTGCAGAGAGAATGAAAGAAACAGAGGAAATTTTGTACATTTTAAAGATAAATTCATTAATCTGGTGCACTTTGAGTACCTCGAATCTGTTGTTAAAAATAAATAATAATCAACCCGCCAACCACATATTCTTTGATTTAGATATCTGCATCTGATCATCACATTACAATTATTCAATTAAGCATAAAAAAACAGAGGCTTTACTCCCTTTAAACTTAATTTCATTTTTGAAAACACTATTATCTCAATATTTTTTTGTACTTTATTAAAGGGCACTTAATGTATGCTCTAAATTTCATTTCAAATTCTTACATTTTATTAATGGGATACATTCAATTAAAATAATAAAACAGCCTAGCCTAGTGGCTGTTACCAATCAAATTAAATAATTTACATTGAAAGATTATAACTGAAATGAGATTATGAGAAAACTCATCCTGTTGAACCGACTAAACCTCGATCGAGCCGTGAACAAACCAAACTAGAGGATGAACAATGAAAAATACTTAGCTCATGTTCATTTCAACATTTACTAAAACATTATTTATTTAATGAACCTGAGCTGACATGAACTAACGATGAACAGCTGTATTTTAGTAACAAAGAATGATCAATAAATACTGTACCAATGGTAGTAATCAAACTAATTCATAACTCAAACTGTTGCTTCGGCCTGAACGAGTTTGAAATTCTACTGTTGCTTAGCAACAACAATCCAATTGAACATTCCGAATGGAGTTATTCCATCTTAATTTGAATGCGGTTAGAGGTTTAATTATTGTGTTTAGATTGAGTTTGTTATGGGTAAATGTAAATGAAATACATGTCAGGATTGAGCATCACAACCGTCATTTGAATCTGCTATTACTCACCATTGTTTTTGTTGCTTAATTGCAGAAAACATGAACAAGGGTGTACAGTGACAATACAAAATGTCGCATAACAATTAGAATAGTAAAAAAAGGAAAAGAAAAATGGCCAATATATCAAAAGATGTTTAAAAATAGCCTAAAAGCAGAACAAATTGTAACCTTTCTCAATGCTTTCTTAGTAGCTGTAACGGTTACCAGCTGGAGTGTCCTCTTGAGCCACCAGAGGGCACTCCAGATAAGACTATGTTTCACACAAACTACATTTCCCAGAACTCACTGCCCGGACTCATCATCACTGATCACATTCACCTGTACCTCATTCACTATTGCATTCACCTGTGTATCATCCTGTTTGTCTGTCTATATATACCTGGTTCATTTGTTCAATCCCGGCGAAGTCTTGTTTAAGTGTTTCACTGCAATTCTGAGCATTCTTATGGTTTTCTGGTCTCTTGGTTTTGGATATCTTGCCCTGTTCCCTGGATTACTCTCTTGCCTCTGGTCCCTGCCTGTTTTGTTTGTTTCTTTGTTTATCTGTTTTGGACTGCCTATCTATTTATGACCCTTGCCTGTACATTGGATTACGCCTCTGGATTGCCCTCAAATAAAGCTGCGTTTGGATCTAAACTTGCCTTTCTCAGAGCAGTGATTCGTAACAGTAGCAGAGGGAATCACATTAGGGAAATTTTCCATTAGTTGTCTGTGAATGTAAAATTTGCATAATATTATTTTGCATTGTTAGAATCTTAAATTGAAATGCCAATTTAAATACCAAATTTTGAATCAGTAGAATTTTTTTTTTATACATTTTGCCTGCATGATTGATTCATCTGGGGTTTTTCTACAAGCATCAGGACATACTGTACAAAGTTATTGTTGCCCTTTCATTTGCTGCCGCTGCGCACACCTTTACAACGGGTCATTGTTTTTTGTTTTTTCATCCGTCCAGAAAGTGTTGCCTGGACTCAGAAATGGTTTTACAGCGGAGAAAAACATCATCCTTGCCTACAGGACTGTAGATGGACAGTCATTTGCCGTGACTTTTCCCTCCACGTCTGCTTGAGAAGTGACTAAATGGAGCCGCTGAAGGAAAGCCGAGAGACAAACAACTTTATCGACAATAAGACAAAATGCACAGGAATAAACAATTAAAATAGCAGCTCATACATTTAAAAGTCAACTGTGATGAGGTCATGGTTGTCTTACTGTCTTAAACATGCACTGTAAAAAAATCTGGATTATTTGTTTTAACCCAAATGCTGGGTTGAGCCTTTGGGGTTATTATTTTAATTGTTTGGGTAGTTTTTTGTCACCCAGCTCCTGGGTCAGACGGTTGAGTTGTTTATTGCGTTCCTCTTTAGGAGAGAGTCATTCGCCGTGCCATCAAGTTGGTGCATTTCATCGGTAAAATACAGGCTTGAGTACATTTAATTTTGATAAAATCGTACTGTGTTCATTTAATTTACGACGTGAATTAAATGTCTTTTCACGTAATGGAAACGCCTGATGCCTTGTAGGATTTTTTCGAGTCATTTTGTTCATTGAATCGACCAAATGACTCGAAAAAAGATTCGTTCAAACAAGAGAGTCATGAACGCGCATCACAGAACAGAGCAAGGCGAGCATTTGTGCTTACAAAACTTAAACTTTTTAATTTATTTTTGAAATGAGGGATGGTTTCGCTAGATAAGACCCTTATTCATCGTCTGCAGTTGTTTAAAGCCCTTTGAAGTTGCACTGAAACTCTCATTTGGACTTTGAACCGTTTGGACCCCATTGAAGTCCATTATATGGAGAAAAATCCTGGAATGTTTTCATCAAAAACCTTCATTTCTTTTCGACTGAAGAAAGAAAGACATGGACATCTTGGATGACATGGGGGTGAGTAAATTATCAGCAAAAGTTTTTTTTCAAAGTGAAATACTCCTTTAAATGAATCTGTAGGCACTAATTCATGTATGAAGTAATAAAAAAATAAGCTAGTATTAGAGAAAAATGGCAATAATAAAATCACCCCGTTATTAAATAAACAACCCTATTTGCCGGGTAAAATCAGCCCAACATGTGCTCTGTCATGTATTTACCCAGCCCGAAATGTTTTGTTTTTAACCCAGCATGCAGAAACACTGAATAGTGTGTCATGAGTTCATCTAAAGGTAATATGCGAAGTAACAGGCTGTTTTCGTTTGTGTTAAAGATAGAAATAACAGCCCCGTCCACCAAACGGAGAAGCTGAAATACTTCCCCTTCAAAGCTAAATGTTTGCATGAATCATCCGTCTTCAGAAGCTCGACTGTGATTCACTTTCTCTGGGGCCACTTAAATGATGCATCCCATTATTCCGACTCGAGAAAACTGCACCAACTACAGCACGGCAAACTGATGACTCAAACTAAAAAGGATGATTTTGTTACACAAGCATCTGGTGTTTGGGTTGGTTTAGTCAGAGCTAGTTGTTTTCTTGACAAAGTGCAGTTTTCCCACATTTGTCTAGTTAAGTCGTCCTCATTTCGCAGGTGGACTAAGTATGATCTGTTGCTCGTGAGTCTTTGCTAATTCATTATGCGCACCATCTGTCCGCACAGCGTTTTGTTTGAGTAAACAGAAATTTAAGGCAAAACGTGCATCTCTTTGTTTCTAATTAGCAGGATGCTAACGAATGGTTGCTAATTTCTTAGCAGTTTGCATCAAACACATGTATGATGCATTTGCCCTGCAGCGAAAACCTGAAAATAATTTTAATTGCACCCCAGAGACTTGTCGTGCGTTAAAAAGGCGGGAGGAGAAGTGCTCTGGGTGACCTTAAATTGATTTAAATTCACACAATAGAGCCTTGTGTGATCTGAAGTGAACCTGAGATGTCAGTGTTATTGCTGGTTTATTTTGGTGAAAACTCACTGAATACAAAAAAAAAAAAAAACTGAAAATAGTTTTTATTTATTTTATTTATAATTATGAACCAAATACACAGCTAACAAAAATATGTTCCAATAACTTTTTGCCAACATTCCCATTAGGTTATGAAAACGTTGTTTCTGAATGTTCTCTAAACGCTCAAAATATTTTATAACATCATTATGAAAACCGCATTAATTGTATGAGAATGAGTTGTTCGTTTTAACCTTAATAATAGCAGCTGACAGGTTTCCTTCAACACAGTCTCATGAAAGTGTGTTTCTATACCACGAATGTCATCATTTCTAATGCCTTATGTAGCCCCGCCCCTTTTCAGTGCTGCGCTCGTTGTCTTTTAACTTCCGGTCTGTATTTTGACAGCGATCTTGCATAGGTATGAATGAACTGCTCATAAATAATTTCCCGGTCCACATTTGTAATGACATCTGCTTTACAATGCTTATGATAAACATTACAATGCTCATGATAACTTTTGTTAACTCTAGCTACAATACGTAAATCCACTTCAACAGCTAATTACTCCTCGACAGCGATGCCATAGAAATATACAGAGCGACCGCGAAACCGGAAGTTCGCCGAAGTTACGACGTCACTCTGTAGGCCAAAACGCGGAAGTGAGTTAGCATTTTAGCACTATACGGTTCCCTCGCTCTAACGCCCGTTTCACACATACTCCGTTTGCAGTGCGTATGCGGTCCGTATTTTTTTCCGTACCCATGTTAACAGGTTAGAGCTTTCACACTGCACGCGGATGCAGTCCGTCGATCCGTTCCAGTTGCGGTGCGTATACAGCAGTGCAGAGATCGTTTCCGTACCGAGTCTATTTCTGCTGTGCTGCAAACGCAGAAATAAAGTGACAGCGCTCGGTTCGTGGTCAAAATGAACTCAGATTGACCTCGAAATGTAGTAGTTTCACCATAAATGCATTTAATTCAATAAAATGTAGTAATCTCTCCATAAAGGTATTTAATTGTTTCATATTTTTACTTTAAGACATCTTCATATATGCATGGAATTGTATGCATTCGTTGTTTAAATCGTGTTTAAACGAGCATGCGTCCATTCACGTTTGTAAAAGAGAATCGCAAAGCCATGGCAAAACTTTTATTTTAATAAAAGTTGCTGCATATGGTGAACATATTTTGATTACCAAAAATCAGGACACATGGCCAAGAAAACAAATGATAGTCGAAGTTTACTCAAAGATGCCTTATTAATTTCAATACAATTAAAATAGGCTATGCCTCCTCTCTGGATAGAAAATTGTTATATTAAGACACAAATTCAGATAGCCTAGGCTTCTCAGAGGATACTCAACATGTTTTATTATGACAGGTTGGTTTAAAAAATAATGAATGAAATAATGATTAAAAAATAATGTCTCTTCTGAATTAGAAAAATAAATATATAAATATTAATTAACTAAAAGAAATACCTTCAAATTGAACAAAAATACCTCTCACAAACGTACAGAAACGAACTAGTTTTCTTCCTCTTTATCCTGTTTTTCTTCCTCATCCTCCTTGTTTGCTCATCTCCTATATTTAGCTGTAAAGCTGATCTTTTCCAGCGTTTTTTTTTTATTTTATTATTATTATTTATTTATTTTTTTTTATTTTTTTTGAAAACCAGGACATCACTTTATAAAAAACGGCCAGGAAGGACGTGAAAACAGGACTGGGATAACAGGACTGTTGGTCACTGGTCACGGTATTGCTGCATAACTTCTGATTTTGAAATTAAAATAGCCAGTGTTTGTGGTACAGCTCACGCACTGCAAACGCAGCATATGTGAAAGCACTTTAGCGCGTGCGGCTCCTGTACCGGATACGCACCGCAACACTCACCGCATACGCACTGCAAACGGAGTATGTGTGAAACGGGCGTCAAGCCTATGGGATTTTTGAATGGGTTTTGCTAAATCGCCTGAAATAAGGTCTGTGGTGAACAAAGCCTCTAAATATTTTCAAGTTTTGATCTATAGAACACACAGTTAAACCTGCTTATGGTTTTTTAAACTTTATTGTGTCTGCCTGTGTTTTTTAAAATCTTTATATAGGCTTCAAAATTTATAGCTACATTTTGGATTAACTTTTAAAGATTATCTTGCTAGACAAAACGTGTAAGGGTCTCAACCCTTTGTTAAACACAGATCTAATTTTTTGCGATTTTCCAAAAGTCTATGGGGAAAATGCATTGCTTTTTGACCGAGGGAACCCAAGCTTCCGACCATTTTGCAAGATGTAAACAACACTGGTCCAGAAACACTCCCTGTTTCAGTTTGTGACTGTTTTCTTTATTTCACATGTAAGGAAACCTCTTAAATATGTTTGTTTAACTTTTTGACTCACTCAGTTTTATATTTTCTGTTGGTTGTATTTTATCCCAGCTTTTATCCACAAGTTTCCTACGCCCCATGAGGCCTTGCGTCAAAAGTGGGCGCGACTTCCGGTTGTAAGTAAACAAAGCGCGACTTGACATGCTTGATACTCGTTCATTCAACAGTTGACAGTCATTCAAGTTATAGCGATCCAAACTACCTAACGATGTGGGAACACAACCTCAACGAAATTCAAAAGGGTGAAATAACAGTACCTTTACCCTCCGCAGTAGTTGATTGGAAGTATTATTTAACATTATTAATAATCAATACTCATCAAGGCATGGTGACAGACAGTTGTGTGAGCTGACAAACAATTAAAATAAAAAATACACACTTAGTCATTGATGTGCTTTGGAGTTTATTCAAAATTATAAATGAATGTGCTACTTGAATACATTAACTGGCACATTTGGTATTCTGTCAACACAGGCTTTGATCCTGAGTTTAGGTGTAACATCAGTAGAGAACAGCCAAACACATGCTGAGAGAGTTTATAGAATATTAAGAATTTAAACAAATGTACACAGAAAGATTCGTCGTCTTTTGGGAGGTGATGGAAACTACAGTCGTTGGCAGGATCAGAGACGGGCGGCAGGATCACTGTGATTTCGTTTTCAGCTTATGTTCAAAACAATCACGTTTAAGCCACTGAACTAGTTTAATCCGGTTATACATATAACCGCGAACAGCACATGTTGTCCCTGAGCTCCGTAACGACACCTCTCATGAAGAGAGATCACGACACCTCTCACCTTTCTCTTCGCTAACTAACACACAAAATACCATTGG